GGTGGACTATCGGATGTGTACTCGCTGTTCAGGTACTCAAAATATCCCGCAGTGGGCTCGGCCCGAAGTTCCACAAATGCTCCGAGCCACGACACGCAACCGGCCACTGTGGGTCTTCGTGCATCACCGATGAGGGTCGCTCTCCCATGCTGTCCGCACGTGGATTGTAGACTAGAGATATTGTACTCGCGGTATTTCCCAGATTGCGAGTAAAAGGTTAAGCCTACCTAGGTAAAGCAGCACCCTGGGTGAAGTATGCATGGATATAAGGCAGAAACGATGACGTCTCCAAGATAGCTGTGTGAGTTGATATGTTGGTGATCGTGGTTCATAGCTCGTACCACATCGAACATATGCCCCGGCTACCACAGTAGAGTAAGCAAAATGCGCCGACTTTTCGGTCTCTTCGGTTATCCGAGTCCAGATGGGGTTCCATGGCATCTATTATTACAGTAGCTAGACTGCTTTCATAGAATCAATCGTCGTTTGCTTCTCATTATCCTCTGCTTTCAGTCAGTAGATACCTCATCAGTCACAATGTCGAGAACCGCCAGTACCTTGCTTTGCCGCGCTGCGCCAGCGCTCCGTCTCGCCGCACTGCAACCAGCTCGTTCACCATGCCTGCGCCGAGGATATGCTCAAGAGACACCGTTCCCGAAGCCACAGAAACTGAAGGGCGTCCTCAAGCCTTTGAAGCAATTCTTAGTTACGCCTACAGTGGGCACCGAGTTTCCAGAGGCGAATCTCGTTCAGATGCTGAACGCACCCAACTCGGATGAGCTTCTCAGAGACCTCGCCATCACGAGTAAGCGCGCAAACCGCTACCTTCGAGAAGACAGAGCTGACGAATGTGTTATCTCTAGTCGCGCGACGTGGAGTCGTCTTCTTCCGCAATCAGAACGACATGACCAACGATCTCCAGAAGCAGCTCATCCAACGTATGGGTGAGCTAGTGGGAAAGCCGAAGGAGTCGACCCTGCACATACACCCCGTACTCAACCCCAACACCCCGATGGGTGGCAACGACTTGCACATCAGCACCATCAACTCCCGTCAGCGAATCATGGCCCACGGCAAGGCCGTACCTCGTGACCTAGGAAATGTAAGACAGGCGCTTGAGTCGTGGCACAGCGACATCCAGTCCGAGCAGGTGCCTTCCGACTACACATGCTTGAGACTTGTGGAGCTACCCACCTGTGGAGGAGACACATTGTGGGCATCTGGATATGAGGTCTATGACCGCATTAGCGAGCCCATGCGGAAGATGCTTGAAGGGAAGACGGCAAACTACACCGCACCATGTAAGTCTGCCAGCTGCTAGCGAACTTCGTGCCCTCTAATAAGTCTCTCCGCAGTCTTCGAACGGATCATCAAGAACTCGAAGCTCCAGGTCTACACAGAGGCGCGTGGCCACCCCGAGAACACCGGTAACCCTCTGAAGGCCGTACACCCGGTCATCCGCACAAACCCCGTCACCGGGTGGAAGAGTGTCTTCTCCATTGGTGCATACGTATGTCTAGCTCCAGCATCCAAGCCATACATCCACTAACTAGACGGCAGCCCGAGTCTATCAACGGCCTGACTCAGCCAGAGAGCGACATGATCCTGAACTGGCTGATGGACATGGTACTCCGCAACCACGATCTGCAGTGCCGCTTCAGGTGGCAAGGTCCAAACGACATGGCCATCTGGGACAACCGCAGCATGGTACACAACGCGACCATGGACTACGACGACCATGGCAACCGCTTCGGATACCGCGTGTGCGGTATTGGAGAGAAGCCCTACTTCGACCCCAACAGCAAGTCAATGCGCGAGGCGTTGGCGGAGGAGGCGAAGGAGGAGTCTTCATGAGCGAATGATGTTTTCAGATAGTAATTCTGGTGGGAACGGCGTTTTGTCTTGTTAGTGTACGAAGGAAAAGCGGTGGGGTTCCATCCTTGTATGAAGTAATCTGATCTCTTTAGTTTCTTGTCCGAATCTGATGTCTACTTCGTGCAGATTTGGTTGTTTCTGTCGCCATCAGATCTGCTCTGTCCTATTGGCTATTGCAAGGCCGCCAGTTGATGGATCGGATGTAAAAGTTGATGGGGTGTTTGCCGCTCAATCTGCGACACCGCTGAAGTGACAGGAGAAGAGGCAGGTCCTGTCACCTGTGGGGGCCGCCGCTGGAAGCTCGGAGTTCACGGCACGTGCGCGGTGGTAGCCAATAAGAGCGTGGTGCCCCGCTTGGAGATTTCGGCCCGAGTGGGTCAGGGGACGACTCCAAGTGCGAGAGCCTCATCGATCGCTCGTCATCGCACAGTACAGTATCGTGAGTACCTAGGTACCTGGAAGTCTACAACACCTTCTCTCTGCCCGGAACAACCCCGGATCTAACGTCGTTACCTTATCATCGCAAAGCCCACGTGCAAGTACTCATGAGGATACGAAGGCACTCGGTAAGATCCGTTGCTTCGCCTTCTTCATCTGGCATTCAAGTGCGAACTGCAGTACACTATTCCATTATCGTCCGCTAAAGCTACGAAGAAGCACTGATACGTGTCTTCACACTATCAGTAATTGTCTCCTCCAGCCCCATGAATCCCGGCCGGCCAAGTTCCTTCAACAGTGCTTCCGCCCTAGCTCGCGGTCCGATCTCCGCCAACGGGAAATCTAGACCCTCGAGCTTGTCTCGCGGCTTGTAACCTGGGACAGCTTTTGCGAAAATGTCAAAGAACTCGTTGATTGAGTAAGACGAAGCGTAAGCAAAGATGCGTTCATCGTTGACGGCTGGGTTGATCAAGCCGGCAACATGGAGACGAGCGACGTCCTGGACGTGGACATAGTAGACTGCGCTAGTGTTAGCTGTTGTTTGCGCTGCACATTTGGAAAGAGCAGGGGTTACATACAACGCTGTACATGCTTGATGGAGTCAGTATCGCCGTCCAAGATCTGGAGCGGGATACGCGCTGTAGACGGAAAGCCCTGGTGGGCCACGTCTAGCGGACTGCCGTAGATAGTGCAAGGCAGCACTGCATTGGCAGAGAAGTGCGGCTTGTTGTTCTTGATCCACTCCCAGAATGCCTGTTCGGCCGCGACCTTGGAAGCAAAGTACGCGATCATGAACTTTTGCATCGGTGGAAGCGAATCTGGAATGTTCTTAGACAAGGCCAGCGTCTGCTCGTCATACTCATCCGCAGACACTGTGTCAGTCCCTCGGTATGCTTGCAGCGAGCGGACCGCAGCTGAAGACGACGTCAGCACGAAGCGCTTCACACTGGGCTCTTTGGCTGCGGCTTCCAAACAGCCCAGAGTTCCGGCCACGGTGGTTCGGAGCAATTCGTCTGGTGTGACACCCATGTCCCGTACTGAGGCAACGTGCACAATTCCGGAGACACCTGGACGGTAAGACTTGTCAGTGATGAAACGGTATTGTGTTTAGGCGGTGGGAATACCTGACACCGCGTCGTCGAACGCGCCAGGCTCTCTCATGTCCTTGACAGTCACGAGTTCAAACTTGTTGTCGCCATACTGTTGCGAGAAACGATCTGCGAGCCATTGGTGCTTGCTGGCGTCGCGGACTGTGCCTCGCACCTTGTAGCCTTGCTGGAGAAGCTGGTCTGTGACATGAGCGCCAACAAAACCGTTGGCCCCTGTCACAAGGACGGTGGAGCCTGCGGCAATTGCGGGACTGTCGTAAGGAGCCATGTTGGGTGAATGCAGTACGAGGGTGTTGTAAGATTCTCAGCTCTGAGATCAAGTCTGCGAAAGGTTTGGATGATGGGGTGATGGGGTGATGGGGTGACGGGGTGGTGAAAATAATCAACTCTTCTACGTTGTTTGTACTTCCGAACACAGTCAGCCCGGTACCATCCAAGATCTTCGGCGCATTATTGGTGTTGAGCGTTTGAACGATGCTATACCTTATCGAGTTGTCGATATAGCACCGCTACCTGAGGATAAGCACTGTATCTTACTGGGCTGACGGGTACCCACCCCCTCGGGATCTTGACTCAGAACACACCGAGCTCGGTAGGTGACATCCGACACCCGACAGTGACAGGGCTCCCTGGCGAAGGTGACGCCATAAGATGTAACTCTCACGAAGATACTCCCACGAATGAGAGAAATCGCAAGTATAATATACTGTAACTCTCACGACTATACCGTCAGGACTGTTTCCACGATACTCGAACGACCAAACAAAGATGCATCGCGTTGACTGTGGATGTGCTTTTCTCGCTCTGCGAACGCTCGCCCGCGTTGAGGAATACACCACTTCGTCGCAAGTACCACTCGAAACCGCATTCCAAGTCACCTCCGAGGCAGAACGACCATGTCTCGCCGTACTGAGCTGCGAACGATGTCGCCAGCAACGACTCCCCCTCACTGCCGTCACCATCTTATGCGCCCATCTGGTCGACTGGCTGTGTCGATTATGGCACCTTCATGAAGAGGCCGTCGCAGAAGCATCCACGGATTCCAGCAACGGCAACACCACGACTACAAGTACACCCCCGCCCAACACCAGCAACACTGTCGAGAGCCCGCATGCCAATCAGCCTTGGAAGTTTTCCCTTGGCAACTACGATCTCGCTGCCGACGAAGCCGATGCGCTCAGCAACGAACTGATGACGTTGCGCCTGACAGGCTTCTCAGCCGTCTTAGGTTCTCTCGAAGCCGCTCTCGTCACATCTGGATCCTCGTCGTCTACCGCATCTTCTCCCGATAAAGGGGCGAATGGAACGCCCAACGGGAAAGCGGCTTTTGCGCCAGCTTGTCTTGACCTCGTCCGCGCAAATCTCAGTCTAGTGCGCGCATGTATCGGCCGTCTCAAAGCGCGCTCACTGCTGAGCAACGGCGCGGCAGGCAATCTGTGTTAGCACTATACCCAAGAATAATGTGTTGAACCATTGGGAGAAAGCATTTCACATGCGCTCGGTATGATGTTCGTCTTCGAGACAAGAAGTTGAGGTACGTATGTATTCTCTCCTATTAACCTACAGCATCGTGGCTCCTCACTGAGCCAAATAGCCCCTATCACCAGTCAGCGCTTCATGGTTTCTCACGTAAAGATTGAACAATACATACCCATCCAGTACCAATGACTGACCAAACATGTAGCTGCTCATGGGCCCAGCCAAGAACACAACAGCATCAGCAACCTCTTCAGCATCTCCCAGCCGGCCTGCAGGCACACGCTCTCGCACGAGGTTATCGATGAAAGCCTTGGTCTGTTCCGAGGACGCGATGAGCGGCGACATGATGTACCCAGGGCAGAGCGCATTGATACGAATCTGCTGGGGTGCATACAGCACGCCCTCAGAACGTGTCAGACCGAGGATAGCATGTCGACCCGCTACATATGCACCAGCAGCGACTTGAGGGGGTGAAGCGGCAAAGGCATGCACTGAGCAGACATGCACGATACTGCCACGGCCATATCGCGAGTCGCGCGGCTCCTGCCGCAGCATTTGCCGTATCCCGGCCCGATGCCAGAGCCAGATACCAGTCACGTGTTCCTTGAGGTGGGTATCGAATGCGGCGGGTGCCGTGTCGGGACTGCCGCCCATGGGCCCACCGAAGCCGGCATTCAGAATGACGAAATCGATACGAGCGAAGCGTGACGCGGCTTGTTGAACGACAGCCTCGACGGACTCTTCCGTACTGCATGGAGTGGAGACACTCAGCACGTCTGTCACCTTGTACTGCGATGCTAGCGTCTGCGTTGTCTCTTGCAGTCCAGCCTCGTTGGTGTCGACAAGGGCAAATTGTTGAACACCATTGCGGGCCAGCGAGTATGCGGCGCTTTGGCCGAAGCCTGCAACATAGTATTAGCCTTCTATCTCCTTTGCTACAAACTTTGTGCAAGCCATAAAAATGCAAAGATAGCAACAAGAAACGTACCAGATCCGGCTTCTGTGATTAGTGCAACTCCCGAAAGCATTCTTGATATGGTGATCTTCGTGGCTAATTTTCATCCCATGGTTCTTGACGTTGTTTTATCGTGATCATGCAATACCCTCGGTGCTTTCTGACTCGGCGTGTTCAGAAACGCACCGAGTTGATTGCTTTCGCCCCCAAATCTGGATCCTAGCGCGGAGATGTGTGGAGAGGCATGAGGCGGAGAATGAAAAACCCCGGCATGGGTATCTAAATTTGAAGCGTCCAATAGGGAGCGCCCAGCGCTCTTAACAATCCGAAAGCGAAGGACGTGCGTTATGCTCCGCGTCGGCGCTCTCCGATTGTCTGTTTACAGGTTACTACGTTCCTTACCTTCTCAACGATTGTGCATCTGCAAAAGGTATCCGATTCAAAGCTCCATACCATGTAGTTCTTGCGGACAGCAACACCCCAACAGCAATACGACCGCCCCACTACCCAACCCACGGACCGCGGTCGCTCAACGTTGCTGCGATGCACCCACACGGCCCCTTGCGAAGGCCAAGTTTGGAGCATGAAGCCTCAGACTGTATAGTTCTCTATGACGCCTTCGCATGATTATCGCTAAGGTTGGAGCAAAGACTGTATCCTCTCGTCAGACGCAGAATATGAAGCACTCAACTTCTTGGTCTGAATATGCGACCTGGGCACACAAGCACTTGGGGTTTTCTGTGCGCTTGGTGATGATCGTTGTAGGTGGGTTGTGATGTCGAGATCGAAGAAGAGCTCGTATAGCTGGTAAGGCAGTCATCGTATCTGAACACTAGAGAGTGCAGTTTCCGTGGGAGCGCACCACTGCAGGTATGAAAGCGTCCGGCTTCGTTTTTCTCAATCAAAATTCCAAGTCGACTTCTCTTAGCCGACACAGCTGGCTCATCATGCTTCGCGGTCGGCTGTAAGCTCGGCGCGCTTTCCCGTCGATTCGATCAGCCTTTGCACGTCGTCTGGGATCCATGCGAAATGGCAAGATCAAATCACCAAAGCAATTTCTGCTCAGCTATACGGCATTCCTCTAGAACTTTCGTCGTTGTCACGGTCTGGATACCTGGGCAGGGTCGCGACAGCAGCACATCGCTCGTGCACTTGTGCGTGATGTGAGTGGCTCGGGTGGTCCATAGCATTGGTGGCAATGGTCACCATCTGCGGAACGTCCGGAGCTGACGGCGATGGAGATGCGACAACGCTGTCATGGCTGGAATGACGATGAGATGCCGTTCAGGAGTGTGACGTGCGTCAACCGGTGACGAAAAGCTAGCGGCGTAATTCCTTGGCGCCAGTAGAAGCTAGCGCGTAAACAGCTCATCCAGGCACACCGTTCGTTCTCTTCGCTGATACACGAACTCAACGCTACCCTCATTTTCCATCATTTAGCTTTAATTTTGGATAGACCCCTTTCTATCGCTTAGCGGGTGTTGACCGCTTCGTCGACTTAGTAAGAATACCCCACTCCAGACTTCCCTCTAAGCAGCCGAAACATCCACACCTACGCTTCATAGCCAAGCTCGGTGAGATGGCAGGTGTTGGACACTTTGCCTCCTCCCTGCGACTCAGTCGGGATCGAAGTGCGCGACATATCCATTCAGGGCACGTAGGAAGAGACATTGTTCCTCGACTGATGCAGCCACGCAACGCACTGGTGCAAAACAACAAGGCAGCCCCATGATTGGATCATCTTCGACGTGACTGCTACCTAATTCCACCACTTTCGCTTCTGCCACGTTTGAGCGCAAGTTGGAACGAAACTGCAACCACCTCGGCCCAACCCTTCCAGGATACTGACGCCCGCCAGAATGGACCCTTTTAGATATCGGAAGGCGTATGAGGCCATGGTGCATACAACGCAACTCATCGAAGAACGTCTGAATCAAGATGTTCAGCTCAATGAGGAAGGCGCGGTCGATGACGATGGCGATGTACCAGAAGCTGCCTTCCAGGAGCAAGATCCGGACAGCATGGACTGGACGCCTACGGAATCGAATACTCCACCTCCAGAATGTGGACCACCCCCGACTCTATCGAGAAAGATGCGTCATCTTCTACCTGGTGGTGGAGACGGTGATCTGCAGGCCGAAGATCGTGGCGAGAACGCAGTGCTCCTACACAAGCTCAAAGAGGGGAAGATCATGGATGAATGCATTGACAAGCTGGTTCATGATCTGCCGGACGTCTTGAATTATCAAAAATCACTTTCATTCACTCCTTCGACGATCGAAGTGCCCAAAGACTTTGGGCTGCAGCTCAGCATCTCGATAAACCACCATCTCGCTCAGATAGAGGATCGCAAGGCGTTGGAGAAGTACCGCAGGTTACTTGGACATCGCAAAGATGCGACAAAGAAGAAACCCGTCAAGCTTGGGTTTGATCCAGTCGAATTGATCAAAAAACAAGCTGTAGCCTTTGGAAAAGACGTCCCTGCACCTGTCTGCACGCTAGACAACGAGATACATCCTATCTTCCGTCTAGATAACTGGCACGGTTGTCCAGATGGGATCTACGAGGTCTTGAAACCGGCTTTGCAACTAGCCACCTTGCTCTTGACATCCCAGGCCACTGCTCATTTCTGGCACACGCTTGTATTTGGCAAGAGGGAGCCCTGCGAGGAGACATCTGCCGCATATGGTCAGCCTTGTTTTCGCATCAAAGAAGACGTACCATGGTCTGAAGAACACCATGCGACGTTCAAGAACTTTCTGGACAATCAGATTGATACGGTCCACTTCTACTTCCACCACGATCCTTTACCACCAGAGACTGCATATGCATCGATGGGTCTCGTCAAAGATTACAAGAACGGTTTGATGCGGAAGATTAATCACAAGTGCCATACGAGTCGCATCTGCCTCCATTCGGATTTCTATACCACTGCAAAGAAGCTCAGTTTGCTACGATACCGGGAGCCAGCCATGGTACTGCGATACAACATGTTCCTTGCTACATGTCTGGCCCATGAAGTTGCACACTTCTGTGAAGTTTCCGGTCCCCATCACGACCATCCCCTGCTCTCCGAACCCGAGGTCTTCTTCGGCGACAACATGTGGACGGAGAGTGGAATCGCTTTCGAACTCAAGATCTTCGGCGGCCGCATACATCCGCTGTCTAGTCGGATCGACTGCAAATTCGGGCTCGCCTGTCTGGACTACCCGCTCAAGGAACTTTACGACAAGGACGATAATGTTCTATACGCCTTGCCAATGGACTATATTCTCAAACTACAACAGAAAGAAACATGGGAGCAAGACTTCAGCAAGGCCGGGCCGGATGTCTTCTTCGTTCCAAGGACCGGGGGCCGCTCGATCGAGATCAACGGAACCAATCTGATGATTTGGGAAGATGAGAACGATGCAGAGATCTCAGATCATATCGATAACGAGGATACGGAGTGGATGCGCATGGACGATGGATCGATCGCGAAGAACCCAAAAGCAAATAATCGCAAGCCCCAGCGACAACCCGTGGTACCCCGATGGAACCCATACAACAACCAAAAGAGGAAACCAGCTGTTGAGACAGGAGCCCCGTGTGTCTCCACAGAGGTAGTAGAGATCAAAGACGAGGAAGTGAAAGAGGAACAGAAATTGGAGCCGCCTGAAAGCACTGAAGCAGGCAAAGGTGCTTCGGATCAGGATATGGCTTAATAAGAGATGGCGTTTTTGGAGGGAGGAAAAGGAGGAGGGATTGTTGCATTCACATTTAGCACGTTCTCTTGGATACCACTGCATTTGCGTAGGGCGTTGTTGTTTGTACTGCATTGGCATAAGCATCAACAGTTATTAGTACTACTTGTTTGTACACAGCTCATGCTTCATCGAGAGCCTTGTTTGCTAATGCATCTGCTTCTCGGTTCATCTCTCTTGGTACATGCCAGAACTGCACCTCTCTACCGCCCGCCTCATCACTATACTCCATGTAGTCCAGCGTATCGTGCAGATCTTTCAGGACTTTGAAATGCGCGACTGGTCTGCCATTGGAACCCACCCCATCGTTCTCGATCCAGCGTTCCATCCACTGACTCATCGCATTAACCAAGAAGCTTGAGTCGGTTGCGATCTTGATTCTGGATAGTTTGAGGTCTGCGTCCGTAATTTTGCGGATGACGATAAGCGCTCGGTGGAAAGCCTCGATCTCCGCACGTGTGCTCGTTTGAGGTAGGAAGTCGTAAAGTAGACCGTATGTGTTGTAGGGAGAGTCAGGACCGAAGTAGACGCCCCACGAAGCTCTCGCTGTTGGTTGACCGTTATTACGACAAGCACCGTCGATGAAGACTACTAGGCTTGTCTCGTCCGGAACAGGGTCTGGCTTGGACATGACTTTCATGCGCAGTTGGGAGATCTTTTTGTCGGCGTTGTAGAAGACTAGCTCGGATAGCGGGAGGGAGGAAGAGCAACGGTCTTCAGACGGGACGTAGAGACGCCGGATCTCTTCTCCGTACTCGTCGTAAGGCATATTGTTTGCTTTGATGTTGGCGTTCAGATGGAACGGAGTTGTGAGACGTCTATTGTGCAGCGGATGAGTCGGAACTTATATAATAGTGGTGATAGATAGAGTTTCGGCTTAATTATCAACCCCTCAGAGTTGCGTTCATGGTTGTTTACATTACAAGCAGAGGTACCTGACCGGCCTACTGTTGGGCTAGCCCGATGCGGCTAGCGTGCGGTAAGCGAGGTGAATCTTGGCAGAGTCACTGGAGCCCGAAATCTGCTTCCTAACAACGACACACGCCTATCGTCTACTACCCCCGCCGAACGTTCAACCCGACCTTTTCGACGACTTCACGATGGCGGACACCCAGAAAGATGCGCTGTTCAAGACGGTGCAGATCGACGCCCTGGTACGTAGGAAAAG